ATGAAATTTCTGTCTTGATAAATAATACAAACAAATTAAGTACTAAGAGAGGCTAACATTTTAATGAATAGTAATAAATGATAGTTCAAGTGTTAGATTAAAAACTTTGATGACTAGATAGTCAAAATTAAATTCAATCAATCAAAGTGTTNAGTTTGATTCAATTAATCAAAGTTTTCAATATGAAGAAGTAGAAATGTTTATACAATGTAAATGTAAAGATCTTCTTAAAAAATATATCTCTCTTTTGAGATTGATATAAATAAGTTAAAGCACAAATAGAGAAAAAAAATTGATGAGAGAAATGATTCAAGAACTTTGGTTGAATAATCAAAGTTTTTTTCTTTAAAAAAATAAATGAAATGAATGCAAATGTAAGTTTAAAGAAATCTGTCAAAAGATATCTCATTTTGATGCTTTTAAAAATTGTTGTATTGAATGTAAGAAGTAGAGGTATTTATAAAGTTCAAAACGTTAAAAAAATCTAGGAGTTCTGATGACTCGTCCGGTCGACCGCTTCTTATCCGGCTAATCAAAATAGTTGTTTGTACAGTAAAAATAAGAGATTAGAACGGTCAATTTTTGGACCGTTGGAAATTTCTAGTCGACCTACCGTTTGTACAGTAAAAATCAAATATCAGAACGGTCAAATTTAGGACCATTGATAACTTTCGGTTGACCGCCGAGTAGTTCGGCATTTTTTACGTTTTGACCCCATTTGTTCTAATTCAAAGGTTTTGAAAAGTGTGAATTTTTGGAAATATTTTTAACTAACTTTTCAAAATAAAAAGTGTTTTTCAAGTCAAAATATCACTTTTAAAAATCATTTTTACATTCGATCAAATCATTGCATTTCAATGACTTTTAATGCATAAAATTGTTTTTAATGCATAGAAGGATTTTGAGTTTAAACATCCATTACCAAATATCAAAGTGTTAGTACATTTACACTTTATCTAAGAAATCAAGTTTTTGATCTTGCTCCGAATTTTGGCTCTTAAATTCTTGAATGTGTGATTTCGATCTTGACTTTCTTCATGAGTTCGATTTGTGATGATAGCTTTTGTTCTTTGACGACCATCAATCAATTTCCCATCGTATGCGTTGAAAAACTATAATCACTTGAATTCAACTAGTTAGTAAACAAGATTAAGTTGATTGTTATAATCAAAACTTTAAAATTATAATTAACCATATGTCAAGACACAACTTTTGAGTATTTACACTTTAATTCCCAAACTTTGGATCTTGTCATTTTTTGTAAATGTTTGCTTTTTTCTTTCAATTCCACTTCATTTCTTTGAGTTTCACCTAATAAATGAAATATACAAGAAATTAGGCTATAATTGCTCAAAAGAATTATTAAATATTTATATTTTTAGATCCAAATAAGTGTATTTTATACACTTATCAAGTATGCACTGGACTCACGAACTCACATGAAAACATTTAAATTTGTAAAAATACAAATAGAGTTGTGAGACTAGATTTTCATACCATGAAGACTCGGTTTGGTATTATTGTACTTTTAATAGAATTAACTATAACTGTGAAGAAAAAGAAACATTTTAGCAAAACTTATTTATATGAAAATTATTANTCAACTTTTGAAAAATATTTTTCATAGAAAAAGTCAATCAAACTCTCCAAAAGTAGGAATTTAGATAGAAAAAACGACATTTTTCATGAAAAATAAAGCCAATTAAACATGCTCTAAGTGTTTGTTAAAGTTTTCTTTCAAAATTTTCGCATATTTCAAAATCAACATTTAAGTGTTTGATATACAAATGTAATTTATTTTGTGTTGGTATACAATTATCAAAATGGACATTATTGTAATGATATTCTTTTGTATCATTATTATTATTGTAACATTTATTTTTTATTTTATAATAATAAGTTATATTATCAATTATATTTTAAGAAAGTTGATTCACTATAATTATTGTAAATTTGAAAAAAATAAAATAATAACACCTATTGAATCTCAGTTTATAAAATTACAAAATAAAAGCATGACACATATAGTAGAAAGAATGTGAAATTAAGCTTATGTTTGGTTGATACTAAAATCTATGAGTAATGCTACTCATCCCCACTGGAATTACAAATACAGTTTAAGTGGCATTAATGTGGTATTAAATGATAGATGAAATTAAATAAGTCATTTAATTTCATATTTAATTTAACTTATCATTTAGAGTCATCTAAACTGTGTTTGTAACCTTATTGGGGATGAATAACATTACTCTTTATCAAAATCAAAGTCATTAATAAATTTTAATCATATATTTCATGGAATTCATAACTTTTCAACTACACATTTCATCAAAATTTATGAAAATCTACTAAAAATCTGATTTTAATCTCCATCAACCAGGGGATATAAATTATGTTTTCTACATTAATTGGGTTTATTCATTTCTCCATTTTCATATAAAATATCAAATAAATTTAAATTATCTTTAACGTGAACTATGGAACGGAAGATGCTTTATTATTGAAATACCAATTTCCACAATATATAAACATACGAAATAAATGGAACTACGTTAATTAATTATAGTTAAAATTGATATTTCAATAATAGATAAGTAAAAAAGTTTTAAAGCAAAACTTGAAAACCATTATTTTGCTACTTCTCAAAATAAATTATACAAATTTTTCTATAATTATTCTTTAAATATACTAAATGAGCCCCCGTTTGGCCTCCATTTTCCCCATTAATTCACATTACTTGCCAATTTTTTTCAAACAAGTGAGGGCCCCATGTGTCATATGTTTCAGATAGTACAAGTAGCGTGAAAAAATTGTCAACTACCCTCTTAATGACTGAGAAATTCATGACAGGTACACTTCTTTTCATATAATAAATGACGATAATACCCTCTTAATGACTGAGAAATTCACGGTATTAACTACCACGTTTTTTTTATGTTTTTTCTGTTTTTAGCATTCCACACGCAACGTTAAAAAAAAAATTCCACTATAATAAAAACGATTTTCCGAACCGATCGCGACTAATGTTTTGATACCTAACGAAGGGCTTGAGCAATATAATCACGTAGTTCTACGGTATGTCCTTGTCCCCAATCGCGTCCTCCTCGGCCGCAATTTTGTCATCCTTGCCTGGAAGATCGATCTCAACTTCAAAATCGTCGGCTTCCTCCGCTCTATGAAAACCTTCATCGAGTTTTCCGTGTCGTCTCAAAAAGTTATGCATGGCCATCGTTGCCACGACAACGAATGTTTGCGCTCTAAATGAGTAGCTAGGCATTCGATCCAGCATTTTCCATTTCTGCTTCCAAACACCGAATGTTCGCTCAATAACGTTACGACATGATGAGTGATGAAAATTGAACCTCTCACGTGCATTTCGAAAACGTCGTCGACCGCCATTATTGTTCTGAAAGTCTTGAAAGTGATACCGTACATCAGATCATTTGTACGGAACCATGTATCCCGGACGATGTGCGAAACCCGAGTCGACTAAGTAGTATTTCCCGTTTCTTGGTTCTGGGAAATTTACATCAGGGCTATGGACACATCGAGCCAAAATTCGACTGTCGTGCGTGTTTCCTGTTGTCCCTGGCATTACAAACGTAAAGCATAAGTTGAAATCACAAGCTGCGAGCACAATTTACGTTGGGAAACTTTTCCTGCCAATGAAGTCAGCCCTTTTATGCCATGGCAGCACAACACGAACATGAGTGCCGTCATTCACTCCAATGCAATCCTGCAACAAGAGTTCGTATCAAAACTGGCAAACATGTCTCTTGACTACGCTTCACGTTAATTGATTATCGTTACATGATGACCACATCCTAACTTGAAACAATGGATATTGGGTAGAATTGGGGCGATGATGAATCGCCCCCTCGTTGTAGTCGGGATGCGGTTTAATAATATCGCCAATTAGCGCGACGACGACTCGTAGCACTCGCCTGAAGTAATGTAAAATGGTCTGCAAAGAATGCCCAAATAGCGTTTGTACTTGGCGATAGCCTTTCCCGTGCGCTAAAATGCACAGAAACATACCAACTTGTTCGTATATATCTATGTTCGCACTACATGTCAAGCCGTACTGATCTTGAAGAGTATGCGTAAATTTCCTGAACATGGGGGGATACGTTCGGAACTCCTGAAAACACGTCTGCGGATATACGCGCATATTCTGTAGCATGAAAATATGATCGCTGCGTGATGTAGGAAAGAGGTACCGAGGGCCCCTGTTCGGTGAAAGATATTCGCGTACAACGCGTTCAGCTATTCTACAGTATTCTAGCCAGGCCACTACATTATCATCCAGCCGTTGTAGTACATCGTCGTTCGACCCGTCTTCGGAACCGGATATGGAAACGAAGCTGCAGTCTGTGTCAAATGATGCACTTTCAACGGACTCGTCACTCATCTACACGAACAAAAGATGACACAACTAGACCATCAAAATGTGAGAAATATTGCATGTGGGATAGAAAGAAATAATAATGGCAATGCTGATGGATTTCTTACCTTACCTCTTCTTTACAAATTAGAAATTGGTGTATTCTGTGTTAGTTCACAACTACCCCATTCGTGAATCTGCCTAGGGCCTTTTATACACATACAAATAATTTAATGATTCTTGGCATGCACACACTTGCAAGTATTGCACTGGTACTTGATGTTGAAAGAGAGAGGCAATTGGGGAATATATTCTCTGCATATTTCTGGTGTAATCCATTCATTTTCAACTTCATAGTACTTGATAGTGAGGGGAAAACACACTCAAGAAACATAAATAATGTAAGAAAAACATGTGTTAAACTCAAATAGGATGTCTATCAACGTTCGAAACAAACAACAAATCAGCAAATAAAATCAAATGAAATTGTCATCACACCTTTGTCTCTAGACCGAAGGACAGAGGTGAATTCGACCACATACGCAACATAAAAACACATACGTAACTTAAAAACACTTCGAGAACTCGAAATGGAATTACAGTTTGCGTCTTGCCCTCAACGGCTTCCCTCAATTCGCATCCTTGTCGCGTTTGAAGCAGTACTCAACCCAGGCGATCCTAAGTTCTTATGTTTCAGAGGCACTGTACGCAATACATTATCGTTGTCGCGGAACCACCACAAAGCAAACAAATGAAGCTCGTCACCACTCTGTACGAGGCCTGTTGAAAGCAAGTCCTTCACGCACTCTGAAATTGTCATCACACCTTTGTCTCTAGACCGAAGGACAGAGGTGAATTCCCTTGACACAGTCACCAAGTTGTCAACAGATTCGGAAACCTCCCTCGCTCTAAACTTCTTCTTCTTTCCTTTCCCTTTTGATTGCTTACCTTTACGCTTCTCTCCACTTCGGCTGAGGGAAATATTCATGGAGGAGTGCACTCTGCTGTCTACAGGCCTTTCACTCGAGTCTGTTGTCTCTGCGTTGATTGGCACTGTATCGTAACGATCTTCTGCGTCACTATCCGAGCTCAAATAAAGACCGCGTTGGGAAAGTTTAGTCGGTGTTAAAGCATACTTCGTGGAGTCCTGAGTGTCACCAAACAGTTTGCTGTAAGTGTGGAATATCTCTGTGTTGTCTTTGAACTTGCCGTACTTCGGGTTCTCCTACACAAAAAAAGACGACATGAGCAACTGCATATTATAGCATGGACCATAATTAGCTGAAAATTACAAATGGTTAACTTCATTGTGCATGACCGTATTCAATCCGAATATTTTATTAGATGAGCATTCTTAATTCTATATATTCGACATCAGAATATTAAGTAACAATTTTAGTGAAGTTAACACCAATAAGATGGCAGTGGCATAGGAATATCAATAAAGTGACCAATGTAATGAAAATAATATTCTAACCCCCATCCAACTCTAGTCGATTCCTAAATCCAAAATTCTCAGTGAAAAAAATGAAAATAAAGGATCTTTTCAGGAAAAAATGAAATTGACGTTAAATATAGCAACTCTCTGAGTTCAAAAATTATTAAACTTTGCTGCAACTCTAAAAAAGAATTTGATTTTTTTTTATCAACATTTGTGAATGTTCAACAATTCCCCAATTAATACATTACCTACACAGAAGCATAATCACTAATTTATCAAACTCTTACAAATTCGCCTGCAAATTGTTTGTATATGTTTCTTCAAAGTATAATTCCAACAATTACAAGTATGCCACACAATTTTCCTTCATTTCTTTCTATTATCCTACAGAATAAGCAAGATTTATCCAAGTACCGGAAGCAGCAGTAAGACATCTCCACAAAATTCGAAGTTGTTTCTAAAAAAAAAAGGTAAATATCAATGCAAAACCTTCATTAATTTCAACGTTTGTTTATCCAAAAAATTGTAGACACCATCATGCATTACCATTGTTGCAAGTAACGAGGAAGAACGTACACCAGCAGATCAAATTACCTTCAATTTCATGTCCCACCACCAGTCCGCCACTTCAATTCTACCCCCGTTGTTCAGACCGTACTAAATCCCGGTGCTTCAGAGCAACTCGAACAACAACTTGTGTTTCGTTCGCCAAACTCCCCAGTGGTTCTTCAACTGAGCGATTGTCCAATCCTTCCCAGCTTGTTGGTTGAACAAATCATAGATTCGTTCCCAACCGGTAGTCGAGAAACACTTTCCTCGACGATGTCCTTCGACAGTTACGTGCTCTACCACAGAGATGAAAATATGGTGTTCTCGAGGATCCTAACTTGTAGACTTGCGCGTGTCTGTCTTCTTGTTGGAGCAACGGGCTGGAGATGCAACGGGCACCGGGTCAGTCACCGGAGTCGTGAAGTTCTGGAAAACAACAACACATTGGTGAACAAAATGCCGTAAAAAGTCCCAAATGGTAGTAAAATAAAAAAGAATGAAGCCTTTATGACATTATACTGAACACGAGATCTGCAAAACAACTAATAAAATATTTCACAGGAGCTTACCATGGAGTATAGATAGTAGCTCCATTGCGAGATGTTGTCGTCCGTCACGAGTTAGTCCATTTTTTTGGTCGGAGAAGACTGTGCGTGGTTTTTTTTTTTTTTTTTCAGCCAACGACTTGCTGTGTTGCTGAGGGGAACAAGTTTGGAAGAAAAGACAATGGAAATGAGGATAATGGTGATTAAATGAAGGGTAATTTTGTCTTCTGTTATTTATATTGGAGGGTGTTTTTGTTTAGCTACCTCAACCGTCCAGTTGAAAGAAATTTCTTACTGCCAAGTGATGTGAAAGTTGCAAATATGGGCCCCACATTTGTCAAAAAAGGGAGGGTTGAAAAATGGCAAGAAAAAGAATGAAATGCATTTTAACGTGGGCCAAACATAAGCTTTCTAATTCTTTGACCAGAAGTTGGCTTCAAAATCAATTCCAAACGAGAGCGAATTTTATGCAAATTTTTAACTTTGCATCTCAAAACATCAACATTATATTAAAAAAGATTTTGCAAAGAACCATCTAATTCGAGAGCAATGTTATTTATTTAGAGTTTAACGTTTATGAATTTAGTAAAATAAAAAATCAAAATTTTCTCAATAAAATTTTTCGAAAAGAGATTGTCACATCTCACAGACACCGTAGGATTGTTATAGGACAAATTAGTGAATCTGATTGATTCACACCCTACCTCCACTTGATATATGCACCAAACAGGCAGTATTTTCTCTCCCCCAATACGAACAAGAAGGCAAGATTTTGTGCTATTCGAGGAGCTCTCGTTGAGCCTATCGAGAGATCGCGAACCGCTCAGTGTTCGTGGATCAATTCATCCATCAAAACTATCGTTTGGATTCTTAGATTCTGTTGTTTGGAATTCCCAATCGATCACTATTAGGAAAAATGTTCTTGGTGGATTGGTTCTATGGAGTCCTCGCTTCGCTAGGGCTGTGGCAAAAAGAGGCCAAAATCCTCTTCTTAGGCCTCGATAATGCCGGCAAAACTACCCTGCTTCATATGCTGAAAGACGAGGTTCCTTCCTAATTTCTTGTTTGCTTAATTTCACGCACACGTTTATTGTATTACGGCTCTATATATTTGTTTCTGTTTCGCTGTTAAATGAATTTTGTGAATCATGTTGGTTGTTATTATTATTAAATTGTCGATTTGTGATTTGACTAATCAGAACAAATCAGTTGTCATTTTGTAGAGGTTTTTTCGGATTGAAAGTTTTTGAATTAGTTTATTTCGCGTTTGATAGCAAATTCGATTTTTTTTTTGTTATATATGAAAATTGATTAAATCAATTAAATCTAAGCCTAATAAAGGGCTTTGTTCTCAATGTTTTCTCTTGTTTTGGGATTGACATCGAGTAATACTTGTCAAATGTATGCATCAATAATACAGCCGTGTCTAGGTATGGGATTTCTGTTCTCTTATTACTTTTTATTTCTTGTGAACAGAATGAGTGTAAATATTTTGTTTGGTTACGTTTGGATAGTTATTTTTCTTATTCTGTGGTGAGATTTATTTCCTTATTGAATCGAGAAGTGAAATTATATTATATAACTGGAGGTTTTTTTTTTAAGCTTACTGTGTACCTGACATTGTTAAAGTGTTGGAAATGAGCAGAGATTGGTGCAGCACCAGCCCACACAGTATCCAACATCAGAGGAGTTAAGCATTGGAAAAATTAAGTTCAAGGCTTTTGATTTGGGAGGCCATCAGATTGCACGGAGAGTTTGGAAAGATTATTATGCCAAGGTATTATATTTTGCCAACATGTTGTGTTTGATTGTTATAGATTTTCAGTAACCACTGTTCGTATATTTTGTTTAAAAATTTCTTCCCCTGCCCCATAACCAAGAAAAGAAAAGAATTTTACACAAACAATTTTAACTTGCGAGTTACTGAACTCCTGGGATTTTGACCTTTTGACACTTCGTTGCTGGTGAATCTCATTCACTACCCTAACATTGTACGCCTTTTCCTTTTTTTATTTTTTTTTATTTTGTGCTCTCTTTGTCAATATTGATTCCTGTAGTCATGCTTTCTACAGAAAGGTAAATGTTCGATCATTTTTTTTAATAGTTAATTCCACGCTCAATTTTCATGCTCCAATTTTTCTATTTCCCAAAAAGCTCTAATACAGGCAAATGTGTTGATTCTGTGGTGTTTAAGCATTAGAATCTGGTGATCATTTTGCTGTCTTTACCTCTTGCCGAATTTATATTTCCCCCTATTATTTGGGAATCTTTCCACGAACTACGTTAAGTCATTTTTTGTGTTTGGTGGATATTGTGAGGTTTTCACTACCAAGCTCGTGGGATAGTAATTCACAAGGCAAGTTTTTACTGTCTCTGTCATACTTTTCTAGAAGAATTTACACTGACATAGTTATGTATAGTAGACATAAGTAACAGCAAACTTCTAACTAGAATGTGCTCTGCCTGACAGAGTGTTTATTCAATTTTTCTTCATGATCTTTTAAAACGTTATACATACAAGTTTTCACTCTTTTATCATGTTTGATTTGATTTGATAAAATGATTAAGTAACATTGGATTTATTATTTTAAAAGAACAAAAAGCTACGAACTTGTTGATTATTTGTTGAGTCATGTTTAGTATTATGCACTTGTTTGAGCCCCATTTATCTATCAAAATGCATTCTTGAACAATAATTTGACCTCATTACAACCACACATTATCCAATAAAATAATATTACACGCAAATTCAAAACTTTTTCTTATTTTTAACCACACATTCTCCATCATAACACTATTGCAAAATGCATTTTTTGCAATAAATGGGGCTCAAACAAGCTTTATGTATCAAATATTCATTTCATCTATACCATTAAGCATAACCCACCACATAGATAGTAATATCTCAAACTCTTTTACTTCTTCTTTTGTACCTTATATTATTTTATATAAGATCTAATGTTAAAGAAGAACACGAAACTAGATTTTTGACAAGCACAAAATATTTTACACTATAAGTATTATATATTTTTAACTCCAACCTTAATACTTAGTCTATGACATTTCTTTAATCTTTTTTCTTGGTAAATGGCTCTTATAGCCTCTAGAATTCAATACAATTAATGCAATTCGCACAAAATAATTAGTCTTCTAACTATCAAAAAATTTCAAAATTATTAGGTAAGTGATGTGACAAAGCTACTTTTCATGATCTCCTAGGTATTGTTAACTCTTTTGTGATTGCAGTTTTTATAACTATGATAAGATTTTTTTTCTGCACTTGATTGTTGTAAAATAAATCTCAGAACATTCAGGGAAAAATTAATCTAAGGAGCTGTGAAAACTTATTATCTGTTGTGCATTTTTATCAGCATTCTGTTTTGGCTTTGGGCAACAGTGTTATGAGTCACACTGAGAGAAGAAGTATGAGTACACGAGTCTCTAATTTGGAAGATCTCTTGAAGACTTGAACTGCACAAGAAATAAATTATTACATTATTGTTGAATTCTGTTGGCGATGATGTGATAGCACATTATACGAAATGTTTTTAAAATGTTAATTTGAAATCTGATGTCATACTATTCAATTCGCTGACACTAGCTCGATGCTCTTTCAAGAAGCAAATGCTCTTGCAACATGACAGCATATTCTAATATTTACTTTTCCTCTGTGTTTTCAAGTCATTTATTGGCATCGAATAAATGATTTGCACCCCAGGTCTCTCCTCATGTTGTGGGGAAAAAGGGAGAAAAACCAAAAAGTAGAATAATTAACAAAAAGGTCCAGTAATTACACTATTAAATTTGTCTGTGACTTTGGGTGCACTTATATTGTTTTATTATTTTCCTCTTCTATTTCCTATTTGTGAGAGTAAATTCACTAGTGGATCATTTGCACTGTGAAGCTTGTTTAACTGCATTGTACTAGATGTTGTAGCATTATATGGCATTCTTCAAGTTTTATGTTCTCTTTCTGATGCCTAATATGCTACTTCTTGGGTAGGTGGATGCAGTTGTTTATTTGGTGGATGCTTATGACAAGGAGAGGTTTGCGGAATCAAAGAAAGAACTGGATGCTCTCCTTTCTGATGAGTCGTTGGCTACTGTTCCCTTCTTGATTTTGGGCAACAAGATTGACATCCCTTATGCTGCCTCTGAAGATGAATTGCGTTACCACATGGGTTTGACGGGTATCACTACTGGCAAGGGGAAGGTAAACCTTGCAGATTCAAATGTCCGTCCACTTGAAGTTTTCATGTGTAGCATTGTCCGCAAAATGGGCTATGGAGACGGCTTCAAATGGGTCTCTCAATACATCAAGTAATTGGCGTAGGAAGCTACATATTTGGGCCGTTTTTGGATTATAATCTTGTGTATTTAATGACCTGTGCTGGAAATGTTGTCTTATTTGAATTTGTTGGATAATTACCTTTTGTTTTAATTTTTGGCGAAATGATGAAACAGCCTTTTTACAATATCATTTATTGTGTTCTCTCTTGATATTGAAGGAAAATAATTATTTCTGGAGAACGGATGTGCCTGCTTTATTTCTTTTTTGAATTAGCTGTTTTAGAAACCGGCCTGGGTATCAACCCGAATATGATAAAGGGTTAATTTTTCCTGCCTTCTACGTATAATCGGATTGGTTCTCTTCTTTTCCGGTTAATCCCATTTAGGTTTTTGACAACATTGGTTTTGCAATCTTGAACCCCATTACTTTTCTCGCACTTATTTCTATGGACAACATTGTGCCAATTTTTTAAAAAATTTCTTGGCCGTTTTCCATTTCAAATTTTAATATGCACTACGAAACAATACTATTAGTATTGGTTATTTAACTTAATTTATTGACCATTATACATGTTGTCGTATATTGATATTTGTTCAGCCTCTACTTTGCAGGGTTGGTTCTCATGACAAAATCTTTAAAGTGGCAGGGCTTTCCTTCCTTGTAACCACTCTGGTGTGAGAATTAATAGGAGAAAAAGATTAAATATAAATTATGAAAGGTTTATTGGAGCAAAATCTCAAATCCTTTGGACTTATTGCGAATATCCTTTCAAATTGGCTGAAAACCCCCATTTATGACTTTTGAAGAGTGAACCACCCCCATGTCGTCCACTCTCGTTACTGTTGCCGTTAGTTCTAATCAAAGAGGTTCAAAATAAATAACTTTAAAAGGGAAAAAACTGTCATTCCCGTCCTCATCACTTGTTAAGGACCTGTTTGTGTAGAATAAGGGTGTATTTTGAAAGAAACGAACAGTCACCTCCAACCTTCCGGTGCAAACCCACGATCAACATCAACTGTACACAGCTTCACACGTGATTTAAGCGGTTTCTTTCGCCGAAGGTCACCATACCATTCTATAGACCGGTTTGAAATAGTAAGTGAAATTTGCAATACTTGTATTTTGATTTTTGGTTAAAAAATTCAAAATTTTCAAATGGGTTTCTCAAATTAGTTTATTCATGTTATGTGTATAGTTTCCTCCTATGTTTATCAAGAATGTCTGCTCCTATAATAAGAGGTTTTGAAGATGAAGCTCCTGAATATGGTTAGTGTCCTTGTTTTGCATTTTGAATGATGTTTTTGTTTCAATTTTTATTTGTTGTTGTTCGAATTTTGGTTTATTATGTGTATGCATGTTGATTACTGTGGGTTTTGATCATTTTCGTAGTAATTAGTTTTTTACTTTTTTTTCATATTCATCCAGCCAGATATACAGATTACTTCACAATGGCAATTCACAGTGGGAGTGTTTTTAGATAAGTTGAATAATGTGAAATATGAATAAGTACGGTAATGTTCTTGGCGTATGTGAAGCCTGCTTATTTCAATAGGGATTGGTATTGGGATTGGTTTGAAGCATTTGCGTATGAGTGTGGAGATTGTGGACCTCTGGACTTGTACTATATGATGCAGAAAGGTAGTTTGTGTAGTACTTTGAGAAGATTACATAATGAATCAGATGCGATAGAGATGTTGAAAGACATGCAGGACACATAGTGGTGGAAATTTATATGGGTGGTACTTAACCAAACATATGCACTATCACATGATCGTATGAAGAACCAATACAAGATGTTCTCGGGAGTAGTGCCCATAATAAAGGGGGTGAATGTAGTACTACTTATGGATGCTACGTCCCGGTGTTTGATGACAGTGCAGTGGTGTAGACAAGCTTGATATTGATGATTTTTTAATTGAAAATGTAGAGGAGGCACGATCATAGTTTGAGGAAACACTTATGTACGATGCTAGCAGTGGTAATCTACAACCTGAATAGGCTGAAGAAACAACGAGATTGGATGATCGAGACATAAATGACCACAACGATGATTACAAAATGGTTGAACTAGTAGAAGGTCTTGTCGAGGGTGTATGAAGTGGATGATGAACAACTAGTTAGTGATGAACTTCCGACTGAGGTAGTGAATCTTGATTTCAATTTTGGTTTTACTTTATACGATGGGCAAGAAGTTAGAGATAGCTCCATAATTTTATTCTCTCTAGTATCTTCAAACTTAGAGAGAAGAATTGCCTTTTATTTCAAGGATAACAATTGGCTAGCTGGACTTATGCTCGACCATAAAAGGAGGTAGTAGCTATCAACTCCTCTGACTTATTTCATCCTTTCATGTCGAGATAATTGTCTGATTGGTCACCGAACTTTGCGAAAGATTTTCAGAAGGTCACTGAACTTCAAAAGTTTTCCCGTTAGTCACTGAAATATACAAAATGTAATTCTATTCATTAACCAATCAGGTAATTAACTAATCTTTATTTTTTTGTACCCATACTTCACAATTTTATTCTCTCTAGTATCTTCAAACTTGGAGAGAAAAGAATAGTCTTTTATTTCGAGGTCAGTAGTTGGCTAACTGGATTTATGTTCGACCATAAAAGGAGGTAATAGCTATCAACTCCTCTAACTTCTTTCATCCTTTCATGTCGGGATAATTGTCTGATTGGTCACTGAACTTTGTTAAAGGTTTTCAGAAAGTCGCTGAACTTCAAAAGTTTTCCAATTAGTCACTGAACTATACAAAATGTAATTACATTCATTAACCAATCGGGTAATTAACTAATCTTTATTTTTTTTGTACTCATACTTCATAATTTTATTCTCTCAAGTATCTTCATACTTATAGAGAAAAGAATAACCTTTTATTTCGAGGATAATCGACAAGGTTGTCTGTCGACATCTCTAGAGCCCTGTTTGATAAGCTTACAATTCCATGTCCAATTTCCACCAATTCACATGTTTGATGAGCAAACAATTCATGGGAATTGGTTTTTTGGGGGTCTCTCTCACGCGCCACAATTCATCCTTTTTGGGAAAAATTAATTCCGACCAATTTGGTGGGAATTGATTTTCCAGTTTACGACTTTTTTTTTTTTTTTTGTGGCAA